AACAAACAAACAAACAAAACAAAACAAAAAAAGATGGACAAAATTGAAAGCCCAAAATGAGGTACATTCACATGTGGAAGCATTCGCCCTCTCTACCATAATGTAGGTGCTCATAGGCCTTTGTAGCACTGTAGTCCATCCTACACTCCAGAAAAAGCTCCCTCCTAACCTCAATCTGTATCAGTCTTCTTCAGAGAAAGCCAAGGCCAAAAATCAGGTAGGTTTGATGGTGACCCTGAATACAGGAGTCATTGTTACTGTTTTTAAGACCTAAAACCATATGCTAAATCCCAGCGCTGCGAGAGAATTCGTGACTTCACTGATGAGCTTCCCCATTGCTAACTAATGGTTCAGGAGCTGTGGTAGAACCTGGGTGCTGCTACAGCAGTCCTAGGGCTCTGCACACGAACAAACAGGAGTAAAAGGATCCCCATGGTAACTTTTTTTTTTTTTTTTTAAATCATTATTAAGTATTGGAGTATTTAGTTTCAGGGCATTCCCAGAGCGTCTTGCATTTTCTTGATGAATAACACGTAATTCCCATTACACCAAGTGGAGCACAGTTGTTGGCAGCACGCAATGACTCCCTGCAAACTCACATGCCACTGAAAACAGACATGAACTTCAGCACATGAAAAGTAGACAGGAACTCAGTTCTCAACCCATGCAATATTCAATCATCCAAACGGGGACCTTTTGCACTCTGCTTTCACTTTGCTATCACATTCATGTTTCTCCTTCTCTTCCCCCAGTCTCTCTAAATATTTACATCCTTCTAAATGCTGGCAGAGTAGATTTTACAGAGGTAAAAAGCCCCCACTCCTTAGCATTAGAAGCCTTTGAGAGCAGCTCCATGCCTTAGATGTCAGCTTCTTGAGTATGACTACCATTACAACTATTTAAGCTGTATGAGCTTAGTATAAGCTCTATAAGCTGTCATTCAGCAAACAAAAAATAAATATTTAAGCTTTGTTAGATAAAGTAATATCGATTTTTTTCAGGTGGATTGCCTTTTGTAACAGATTCTGCCATTGAGAGATTGGTACTGAATTAAAACTAGAATATTGTTAAAAGCAGCGAGTCCTTCTCAATATACAGCCATTATAAATAACCTCAGACCAAAGAAGTTAAAGTAGAAGACTCAGTTAAAAACATCCTAATGTTTGGTAAGTAATTGCATGTCTTCAAGTCTTCTCAGAGCCTCAGAAATCTAAAACACATCTGACATGTTCTCTTTCTGAGTCAGTCAAAGCCATGACATTCGACAAAGCTTGCCTATGCAACATCTCAACGTCTTGCAACGTGGCAGTGGAATCCACACATGTCCTCCAAAGGGGAGGCAGAGGAGGTGACTGACACACTTTCAACTCACTGATCCATACATGACCTTTAGAATTAGTACTAAATGTATGAAAATAATACATGGTTTGAATGAATTTAAATATTCACTTTATCCTTCACGTACAATATGCCATCCTGGAGAGATGAGCTAGTCCATCTACTCTTTTTTCAGCTCTGTGACAATTAATCTTCTGTCTGTGGGTTTACAAACTCATATGCTGACATAGGCTCCACTCACTTTGTCCTTTTCATTTGCAAAGTTTACTGGTTCTTTGGTCCTCATCTCCTTATCATACACATATTCATAGTCAAAATTTAGGTAGTTGCTTATTTGCATAACCAATTCCAGGTACAGCTCTGTATCTCAGCAGCATTGGAGTTAGGCCATTAAAAGCATCCACAGACCAACTGTGTATATCAAGGAATTAAAAACTGAGAAGATACTGGAGAAACTGTATTTATTGCATGAATACCAATAGTCTTCAGCCTCTTCCTTATTCAGCCATCCAGCCCAGAGCTTGGCACTTTTATCTAACCCTTCTGAGTGGAAATATTTTGTCTGTCTTCATTTCTCACATCTTGTAATATTAGGCCCAATGCTTTATCACTACCCTGAACAAAATGCCACTGAGGTAATGGCTCTTTTGACTAAATAAAGCATTCCAGACGGGGCCTTTTATTGCAAACGTTCAGGTCATACCAACAAGACCATCACAAAAACACTGAGAGCAATAAAATCTAAAGTGTTTCATTTCCCCTTACTTTCAGATAACTGTAAACAATGTTAAACAGTAGGATTTTCCTTTTTCAGGAAAGATTTTGCTTTGAACATTGAAATCTATTTTGAAGAATGCTCTTTACAGAGCTGCTCCAAGCAGGCATAGCAGGGCACTTACTTCAAGGAAGAGGTTAAAACCAAGTACAACATTTATAATTCTGTTTAATAACCTCAGTAAGTCAGCAAAATATTCTTGCATCTTGAAGTTTAATGTAATTTATGCAAAGCAGACCTGACTGCCCCTAATGCAACTAATGCCCACTATTACAGTTCCTCCAAAGTTCTCATGACAGAGACACATTCACGTTTTGCTCATCAAGCTGTCTAGGGTACCTCTTAAAACACAAATAAACTATTTTTGAGACTTTCTGAAATGTAATTTGCTGGAGACAATGCATTTAAAGCAGCAGAAGAACATCTTTTCATGCAGATTTCAATAGCAATGTTTGGAACACTACAAATGATAAGTGAGGAAAACAAAGTTGTTGCAACAAGGACCACCTGCCCTTATTCACTACCATCCTTCCTCCAAACTCAGCAAGGTGTGATCCATCAGGCAGGAGCAGACCTGCCCACAGTTGCTGGTCATATTTATTTCCAGGCTCAACTTCTGAAACTAGAGTGGCTATCTAAGTGGTTTTCATCCAACAGTGCTAGTCAGAGGCAGGTGATTTATCTCTTTCCACAACCTAAATGAAGGTTCATCTACACAGAATACCAAATGAAGAAATGAAAGCTTGAAGCAACATATATGTGTTCATCCAGTAAAAACAAAAGTACCCCAGACAAACAATCGAGCACTCACACCAAAATAAACAGGTTGAACACTAAAAAGCAACCTTCATAACCCAGAAAAAAGGCACCAGTACAATAACTGCCTTTTTTTGGTAAAGTTCACATGATTATTTTTAAAAGATCTACAGCTCTAAGTGTTAGTCACAGCTTTCTAACCACAAACCCTTATCCAGCCACACAATTTTTAATATTATCATTTAGTCAGCCTTTTCTTTTAAAATTACTGATTTTATATTGATGTAATACAAAAGCAGAGTATGCAATGCACTTCACCTGTCATTTATAAAAAGTATTTGATGTATTACATTTTTGAAGTGTTTAAAAAATGCATTATCTGCATATTCAATATTTTTATGCATTCCGAAAATATGGTGAAGGTATCTCAAACATTGATTAGGAAAAAGTCCTACACAATCTTTTTTTTTCTTTTTCATAGGTAAAAATGTTGGCAGCTAAACTGCTGTAAAAAACATTTTGAAGTTGAAAAGGGTTTGCTTTTAACACTGATCATCTATAGCTCCTTCAAGTCTTTATTAATATTTACTAATTTCTTAGGATATGAAACATCACATCATTCTTTATTATTATTATTATTATTATGTGGATTGAGAATGCTTCAGGAACAGCAAAACTATGTATGTTAAATACAATTGTAACACAACAGATATAAATGCCAGGATTGAATAACTGAAAACATATGCTATATGCCTGAAATTTTAAGGATGATGAAACTGTCACATTAGTAGCACGCAGCATGTTATAAAGAACTCCCACAATGTAGCAGTTGTTCAAAAGTTGTACCCATCCGGTCATTCTATCTTTATAAAAAGATATATAATACTAGATGGTGATTTATTCAAAACACAGCTGCAGCCTAACTTAAAGGTAATAAAAATAAAATAAAAAAAAAAACACCATCCCCACAAAACACCAAAAAACAAACAAAAACACACCCCCAAACAAACAAACAAAAACAAACAAACGTTTTAAATCACAGCGTTAAAGCCATGTCGGTGCATACAGAATAAAAGAACAGCATTTCCAGAAAGTCCAAATTTTATTCTCATCAGAGTTTATTTGAGGGGAGGACAGGTGAGAGCGAGAGAAGCGGAGCGGCGGTACAATCATGCTCAGCCCAGCGGACTCCTCCGTGCTCCTGTCAATCAGGGATCTCGAAATGTCGCCCCGGGATGGGGACAGGGATGGAGACCCCCCGACGCGCAGCGCTCCCGCCCCGGCCGAAGGGAGCTCTGAGCGCCCCTCTCCCGGCACGGCGGTTCCCCGGCAGCGAGGGCGGCGGGCGCGGGAGCCCCGGCACCCCCGAGGGCGCGGACCGACTCTTCGGGCCCCCCCATCGCGGGGAGAGCCTGCAGCCGTGTCCCTCCCGTGTGCACCCCCGCCTCGCCCCGTCCCCCAGCTCTGGCGAGCGCCACACGTTCGGCTGAACTTTCATTGGCGAGTCATTTCGCGCCGCACCCGGCGGGAGCAGCCGGACACGCTCCTCGCGTCCCCCGCCGCTGCGGGGGCGGCTCCATCGCCACACCGGGGTCGCCGCCCGGGACCACCCCGGGCTCCCCCAGGCACGGCCTCGCCCCCAGCCCCCTCCCCGGCTTTATGGGCCACCCCACGGGGGGGGGAGTGCGGCCCCAGGCCCCCTTGCTCCGGCCACCTCCCGCCTCCGTTCCCAAGCCCAGCCAAAGAGCGGGGGGAGCCGGCGATGCCGGGAGGCGGGATCCCGGCGCGGGGGAAGCCGCGGAGCTCCCCGCACCTGCGGGGCGGGGGTTGGGGGGGGTGATGGGAGAGGGCGCCGCGCGGCCCCAGCGCCGCTCCTCACCTTTCATCCAGTCGACGACCTGGCTCGGCGACCACTTACTGACGGGCTCCATGATGAGGGCCATGGGCGGCTCGGGGGCGCGGGGCTCGGACGGCCGCCGCTCTCCGGGCTCGGGGCGAGGCTTGTGCGGGGCGGAGAGACCGCGCTGCCCGGGGACCCCGGCGGCGGCGGGACGAGAGAGCCGCTATATCGCCGGTTGCCTCCGCTCCGCTCGCTCGCTCGCCGCCTCTGTGCCTCTCTGGGGATTTCAGTTCATGTTGCCGGCTCGGCGGGGAGGGGGAGGTGGAGGAGGAAGGGGGAGGAGAGGGCGGCACGCTCCGACGCCTCCCGCCCCCGCGGACAGCGGCGGCGGCTGCTGGCCCCGCCGAGAGGTCGGTCCCCGGGCGGCGAAGCGGCGAGCGGGGCGCTGGCTCCGAGCTGCCCGCTCCGGTGCCCGGCGGCTCCCGCGGCTTCTCCGCGGCTGCCGCGCCGGTGTCTTTTTCTCCTGGCGGAAATGACGAGGCGGCTCCTGCCACCCGAAAATATCTCCAAGTGAAATGGGAAGCGACACCCGACGGCCGCCCGGAGCGGGGGAGCGGGGGGGAGCAGGGATGACTCGCAAGGTGCCGCGGCCGGCGGGAGGGGGTTCTGGGGCGGTGGCAGCGCCGAGCACCTGCTCCCGGCGGGCCAGGGCAGCGGGGGCGCCTGCGGGGGAGGCAGCCAGCGGCACCGAGCTGGAGATTGGGGTGTGGACTTGTTGGATTTTATTTTCCCTGGAAAGAAGCATCGCTGCGTGGGCAGTGAAACTAATTTTTTTTTTTTTTCTGAAGACAAGCTCGGCTGTAAAACGGCGATGACGGACGGTGTCGCCGGGCTCCCCGAGGGAGCCGTGCTGGGTGGCAGCCGGGATCTGCGGGGAGGAGAGGAGAGGAGCTGCACCTTGAGAGAAACTACCCCTTGTTTTGCCCGCTCACGCCGAGGGTGCGGTAATGGGGCAAACTGGAGCGAAGTCAACCAGCAGAATGGGGATAGGACTTAGGCAACCTCAGCACGGAGAGAGCAGGTGCTCCTCTGCCCTGCCTGCCCCGTGGGTTGCACCACCAAGGTATGGTGGCTGCAGGTGTGAAAATCCACCATCCCTCCAGCTGGAGCTGTTCATCTTCTCCTTCTGTCTCCACAGGCTGCATCATCCTGGAGGCTAACCCAAGAAGGCAATTCCCACAGAGCCTGTGCTACAGTGTCTTTTTGTAGGAGCCCCTCTCAAAGCACAGAAAGATTCCTCCTAGGATGACCATGGCACTCTTTTCAGGCACCCTGCCTAGGAGCCTCTGCTCTTAGGAGGTGGCATCTTCCCCCTGGAACTCCATGCAGTGGATAAATAGTACTAAAGGGTGTTTTCCTGCTAGTTGCTTGGCCAGTGCACAGCCTTGCCTACATTTGCATTCACGCTGTTCCTCCTGCCAAGGCTGAGGCAACGACCATCAAGATATTCCCTCTGATGCTGCTGACTGCTGAATGCCAGCTGCTGACACTGACATTTAATATCTGTATGTGAGGAAAAAAGAGGATTCCCTCACCCCTGAAGTGGTAACAGCAAAGGAATCAGTTCCTTTGCACGGTATGGGCAGTGAGAGAAGCTCTTCCTCTTCGATGTGTGAGGCTGAAGTAGTAGTGATGAGGGCCAGTAAGGCACACATAGGGTTGGTAACATCTGTCCCTAGGGACCCAGGAAGAAGTCTCCCTACCAGTATTAGGTAGACTTTAAAGGATGTACTTATCTTTGAGAAGAATCTTCCTTTTACTTAAAACTGGGCTTTACACACTGTAATTTTCCTTGAGTTTGGCTCTAGACTCATGTCTCCTGTGTCACATTCCTGCCAACACACTCAGGAGGCCCTCTGCTTCTAAAGAGGTTACCTTACCTAAAGCCACCGAAACAATAAACCTCACTTGCAAATTAAAGCTGACTTTTTTCCTTGTGAAAGGTTTGAAAGGTATGCAGAATCCTTACATACTGGGTCATTGTTGTTGAAAGGGCATGTTACATTTTTAATTAGAAACCACTAGTTTGAAAGGTTTAGAAGCGTAAATACCCAAAATCATACTAAAGTCTGGCATATAATTTATAGCACCATTATGTAATTCTCATTGTGCTGAAAAGTGCTTCATAGGTGAGGACAGGGAAAGTAAGTTTTCAGTACAAGTTTATGAAGTCCTATAGTTCATAATTATGCATGCAGCTATAGCTTGTCAAGGTAATTTGTAGCTGAAACAAGTTTTTCAGTAAAGCATGACCCAGTGACCCAGTACTATCCCCATGGTTAGTATTTATTGCTTTTAAAGCCCCTTTATAGTGGTTTTATCAAATTATGGAATGCTAAAAAGGAGTTTACTCCTCCAGTAAACAGATGAAGTGCTGAGAAGGGGATCTAATTACCTTTATTGTTCTCATAGAGCATAACCATCTCATAAATAATGGGATAAATCCCACTCTTTTACTCAGATCTTGTTTCAATCTCACTGAATAACATTGGCTTGGCTATGGTAGAGAGGACTTGGCTCTTAAAGAGTGATGATAATGTTATCCAGCCACAGTATTTAACTTGACCTATTATAGCAATGAATTCTATAGTCAGGACATGTGCTACATAAAAGTATTTTTTTTTAAAATTTGCTCTAAATTTATTGCTGCCTGATTTTATTATTGTTCTCTCTTTCTAGGGTAAAAAGTCAAAAGGAGAGCTGAATGACTTTTTATGCTGACATTCTTAAACTGTTAAGTGTCTCAACCAAAATGCCTTAACCAAACTCTTTTGGCTGTTTTCATCTTTTAGTTTAGTGGCCTTCATTTGCTGTCACACTTGTATGAGTCAGGCCTTTTATGTAAAGCGTATGGGACAGGCTTCTGCAGAGACGCTGAACTACAGAATTATGTATTAACTCATCTTTTAGAATGACTCTGATCCCTATGGCACATTAAAAATTACTGTGTTTAATAATATAGATAAATATACAGGTTGTTGTTTGGAAAGTCTCAATTTATTAGGTAGTAAATGTAAAAGTAAGTGCACGGTAAAATTCAATATTGAAAGGAAAATAAGAAGAACAAGAATGAGTTTGCAACTGAAGTACAAGCCTGAACCCAGCAGTATAGACCATATGTCTGCTTAAATATCCATTTTCTTAGCATCCCTGAATATGGATAGACAGCTCCAACAAATAAGTTTGAGAATACACACCCCCCGGATCAGCACCTCAGACTGCATGCTCACAGAAGATACTGCTTTTCTGTCATGGCACGTTGTCCAAAAAAAACCCCTCCCTAGAGTTCAACTGACAGTCATAGCTGCTACAGCAATACAGATTGAAAATAAGACTAGTGAATCATTCAAGTCTCATTTTTGTGTCTATTTAATCAATAGGACAGCTTCTGAAGCAGAACACTGCTTATCCTGAATAAAAGTGGCAGTTAGATCCAGGTTCTAACACTGGGAGGTCGAATGGTTGAATTTGCTTTATGTATATGAAGCAGACTCTACAGTAAGTACCAGTGATGAATTACAAGCATGAGTATGCGTTCTCCAGAAACTTCATGGACTTTTTGCTAGGATCTCCAGAAAACATACAGAATGCTTAGAAATGACAACTTGAAATCTTGCCCTGAAGTTAGGAAAAGGAATTTAGCTCTCAAAAGATGTTTCTGGTGCTGGATATTAAAGCCGATTCTTCGGATGGCAGGGAGATGAAAACAAGTGGAGGCAAATTAACAGGAACTGAAACTGAGATTTAATAAAAACTATTGGAGTAAAAAAAAGAATCAACAAGCAAACAAAGTCAAAAAAGCTAATACTTTCTTCAAGTTAATAAAGCTCATTTGTCTTTTGATAGCAAATAAATCCTGATTTTTACGAAAGAGGCTCTATTTGATAAGAATTGAGCTTTTCCATTGGTATTAGCTCACACTACAGATATCTGCTTTGGATGCCATATCTGCATTACTAGAGAATATTTTATTCCACAGCTTGTGGCAACACATAAAACAGGTTGCTACTCTCCTTGAGTTAAGACACTCATTCGTCCCTTGTCTGATAGGGCTGCCATCTGTCCTCTGTTCCCCAGAGCCTTTTTTGCCTTCAGAGTGGTGTCTGAGCTGATGCCTCATCAGGACAAGGATTGCTGTCCCTGCCAGGGCTAACATCTTCTAAGGGGAAGGGGGAATGATGTGGAGTGGGAGGGAGATAAATTGCCTTGGTGCCAGGGGGTCATGTCAAGCAAAGGAGGAAGAGGAAGGTTCATGATCAGAGGTACAGTAAGATAGTAAGCCTCTGGGGAGGGTAGAGACTGGCCAGATTCGGAAAGTTTAGAGGAGCAAGGGGGCTTAGATGGAGTCAGAGACCCAAGCTGATTTAGACTGGGTTCTAAATCTGACCAGTTGTCCTTGGTAGTGGAACAGTGGAGAGATGTGAGGGTCTAGGGGTGGGATGGGAAGGAGCTCCCTCCCAGCTGAGAAGAGCAGGCCTGTGCCCTGTGGTTGCTGCGTGGCCCACCACCCTACTGGCAGCTGGCCACCACTCGCTTCATGTCCATGGGCAGCCTCTACCCATACAACAAAGAGGCCAGAAAGGCAATAACCCTCCATCAACTTTGGGCCTACATTGGGATCTTGCTGTTCCCTCATTTCTCACCATTTATTTTCAACCTGCTTGAAAACACAAGTCTTTTAAAACAGTGTTTCAAATGCAAATATGCTGCCCTTAAAGTATATGCCTTACATCCCCCATAGTTTATTTTGACATAAATGGGGGTGGGGGGTGTTGTGCAATTGATATTGTTTTGTATAATCAAAAATAGAAATCATAATCCCCCAAAGATGTTTAATAATTTAAAGTATTCAGAACTCAATTAAGGCTATTAAGAGATTAGAAATTAGATTAAAGGTGGCTAATGGGTAAAAATTCAAGGACTTCAAACACCTTTTGTAATACAAAGGTTCTTGAAAAATGAACAGGCTGAGAATTTCCTCAGGAAATTCCTATCATTTTAATTAGGTTTCTTCATTGAAAATAAAAAAAGAAACCACTCCATACACAGATTGAGTCCCACTGCCTCTCAAACAGGGGACTCGAGTAATTGCCTGCTGAGACCTCCTCCTTCCCCAGGTTTTGGGGGACATGCAAAGGTTTAACAGGTTTTGACAATCAGAAGGGACCACCTCAACCATCTGACATGTTCTCCTGCATTGATGAATGCCAAAGAATCTCTCCCAACCTCTCCCATGGTGGTGGGAATTATCTTTTCTGTGATCATATTGTATCTGTTTCTCTGATCATACTGTATCATATTGTATCAGCCCAAACTGTATCTGTTTCCCATTTCCTTCAATAAGGAGTCAAGTGTCTGGTTCCTTTTGTTGCTGAAAATAAGAATCCCTGGCAATGTGGGTGGCTCTTGTCTTTCTGCATCTCATGGTTTCTCCCATCTGAAGCTTCACAGTGATGGGAAAGAGCGATGCTGTCATGAGGGAGGTGCGAGCCAGTGGCAGAGGGACAATGAATACGTCCCTGCATTTGCAGAGGGCTTTTCAGGAGCATTAGCCACCCTGTTGGAGGTGTGTGGGGAGCTGCCATCTCAAAAGAACAGTTTTCTGCTCCTTCATGAAAATAAATACACAGGTGGTATTATGTGGGCCTTCTCATTTTCTTTTTGTCAGGCACAAGCTCAAGGAGGCTGTTTGTTTGTTCAGCTACCGTGCTAGGCTAGGGCTGCATCTATGCCACTGCAGCACAACTACCCTGCTCAAAACAATGAGAAACCCAAGGGAAGTGTGCTTCTGTGCTAAAATTATTAGAAAAAGATTATAAAAGAAAACAGCTACTAATTATTAACATCAGGTTCCCACTCATTATTAGCATCACAAATGTAAAATGGCTGCCAACAAGACTCAGCTTGAAAATCTCATTAGAAAGAAATGTCACAGTTTATTCCTGGTTATAAATGCTGTTTTATTACCTTTGGAATGGTTGGCTGGTTTGGCTAAATGCAATGGGTGGCTCCCCTTGAGGTACGTATTTTTACTGATGAATTCATATTAGCAGAAGAATAATAAATATCTGATCATTTTCTAAGCAATCCTGAAAATATTTAATATTGCCAAAGAATGTAGTCATCTAAATTGCACACTGGAGTACA